AAAAATCGTGAAATGTTGAGTTGAGGATGCTGATGAGGTCAAGTCGAAGACGAGCCTCGGCTTGTCGGCCTTAACAGTAGCGGCTGCAGACTGCTGGCCCGGCCAGGGGTAAAGTGCGGGGTGCGGGGGCGGGTCCGCCAGCCCAGCACAGCCTCCGGCGACGGCGACGGCGACGGGACGACATTGGACTGGGGAACCGGAACTGGGGAATTAGACGATACTCCAGCGAGAGGTGGAAGGCAGGCTGGTCGTTAGAGTCAGGGACTGGCTGATGCAAAGATGTTGGAACATGACATCGGGCACGGCAATCCAATGATCAACGCAGTGTTCTTTACACTCAGGCCACCAAACAATACTCTACGACAAGTGCAGAACTTCAGAAGTGTGGACAGACCACAGGGAAAATCGCAAGCTGGAGGACACGTTATACCATCCTCGGTAGTATGCATCACACGTCGTTATATATTGGAGTTGTGGCCAATCTCAAGATATTGGCAACCGTTCTAGATCGTACGCTTGCTAGAAAATAGGCGGAAAAAAGGATACTCGCGTTGCCATCTAATGGAACGACGTGGTACGTCACCTCCATGTCCATTTTATCATGCTCATACCGGTGAAAGAGCAGGTCTGAAGTGAAGGCTCCCTTAGCCACCGCTGGCAAAAGCATGTCCACTTGTTGTCCCCAGGGTCGATTCCTTCTATGATGAATGATCCAAGCCTCGGAGCAAAGGGAGTGCCATTCTTATCCCACCATGTTATCTGAACGGAAGCGAAGGTCGGTGGTGATGGGCAACACAGATGGTCATGTGGAGAATCTGGTCTTCGGAAAATACAGCCTTCGACAAGGCCATTTTTGGTACATTCCACTGACAGCTTTCCTGCTGCAGCTGTTCGCCAGTGGCAGCTTTCACTTCGAACACACATCGGCGGTCAATGGTGGGCTGGCAGTGCTGTGGACCTGCGCGCAGCGAGCCCGTTACAGCTAGTGCCCTGGGGGGGACCCCTAATGTCTCGTCGCCAGGTATGTCTGTGCCTGTGCCTACGCCGTACCTGTGCCTGTGCCTGTGCCTGGCGGGTCCCGCCAAATTGACGATCCCCCCCCCTCCACCGCTTCCATTGGACAGGTGCAATGGGATGCCCCAGAGACCCCAACACCGACCCAGAAACAACATTGAAGCATCACCGCCGAATACCTGGAGCTGGAGCAACAGTCCTCCCAACAGCCCTACACCGACGTCACGATGCCGCCATGGCTTCCGCACCGCCAAACTCCCTCCTAGCTCGGTCGAGATCGTTACGCTCAGCCAGCAACAGGAACCCGTCAGCAGCAGCAGCAGCAGCGGCAACGGCAGCAGCAACAGCAACAGCTACCCCTCAAGCAGCTGCTACACCGACAGTTACCCCCAACCTTTCCATCTTCCTGACGAATCTGCGACTTCTCGACTTTGACTCGTACCCCGACTGGCCCGCCTTCGATGCCCAGACCTTGGCCATCCAGAAGAGACGCATTCAGAGCGTAGAATGGGCCCTCTTCCAGCTCTTCGCCCTCTGGGATCCCGAGGAGACACGCGTTGTAGGTAAGCCCCGTCCCGGCCTCGAGCTCTCTTGCGCTGACGTCAAAAGAAACTGGAACCATACTTCCCGCCCCGCGACCAGGTTCAGTCCATCAACCTCCGATCCGCCCTGCAGCGATGTCTCGAACAAGCCAAGAAGAACGGCGCCCTCGGCCGCGACGCCGTCGTGCGCAAGACCATGCTCGACGACTGCAAAGGCGACCGCCTCGAGGAGGTCCTCGCCGTCTTCTCCTCGGCCGTCCTCAAAAAGATGGCCGCCGCCGCCTCCGAGGCCGAGGGCGAACACCCCGCCATCGCCGAGCAGCTGGCGCTCGAGAACAGGGGCTACGGCGGCGAGAGGGGCGAGCTCGTGGCCCTGGCGCTCGCCCACAGGGTGTCGCTGACGCACGTGCTGCGCCGCAAGAACGAGGCCCGCCGCCGCTACAAGGATCTCAGCGAGCTGCTCGACATCAAGGAAAGGAGCATCGCGAGGAGACAGGCCGAGGCTGAAGCCTGCAGGGCCAGGGGGCCGGGCGAGGCCGTCTCGGCGGATGCGGTCCTCGACATGCGGCGGATGCTGCGCAATAACTGGACCGGCAGCGAGCGCTGGATGGAGACGCTGCTGCAGGGCGACGCGAGCGCCCGGAACGATGGCGTCCTGTCCGCCCCTTTTGATCGCGTCTGGCGGCGCGTCGAGGCTGGCCGCCTGTCAGAGCTCGAGGACCATGGGAAAGGACTCCTCGAGCAGCTCGAAGGCCGCGTCAAGGCGCAGCGTGAGAGTCTACAGAAGTGGCAAAACTTTCAGGAGACAATGTTCGGTCGCCAGCCGGATGGGAAGCCGCTGGCAGATGCAGCGAAACGCAAGGAGCGCGGCATCCATCTCGGGTTCGGCGCCCACGAGGATCTCCATCTCGGACAGTTTCCTGCGCGGGAGAAGCTCTCGCTGCAAGCCCCAGAGCTCGACCCCGTGCACGCCAGCATTCTCGACGACTGCAAGAAGGACTTGTCGCAGATTGGGGTCGCACCGAGGACAGACATCAGGTCGTTGCTGGGGCCGCGCCTGCGCGAACCGACACGGCCCGACAGGCTCTCTGTGGGCACGGACGGCGGCACCGAGGAGGGCGTCTCTGAAATCAGCGAGTTGGAGGAGGAGGAGGAGGAAGAACCCATCCTGGAAGCCGCCCTACCGCTGAATCCTGCCCATAGAAGGAACAACAGTCAGTCTTCGGCTCCTTCCTCCTCGCAATGGAGCGAGCCACCGGCCGATCCCCCACAGGAGCTGTCAAGACGGAGTTCCATCCGCCGCCCGGTCGTCCACCGCAACACATCCTCCATCACCAAAGACCGCCCCGTCGTCAACCTGTCACGTTTCTCATCACAGGGCTCCCACGCATCGGGCAGCAGGACATCCGACCGATCCAGGAGTCGGTCTCCGGAGAAACCGACGCGGCCCAGCATCATTCTCGAACCAGAACGGACCCCCTCGCCCGAACCCCCCTCGCCAACACAAAACATGGCAGACCAGATTCTCGAGTCCATGGCCGCCGCATCCCCCTCGCCCGTCAAGCAGAACAAGCCTCGGCACACCTTGTCCCTGGCCGAACGCACCCGCATGTCCATGGCCCGCATGTCCTTTGGCGGCAAGGCTTTCACGCCCGAAGACGAAGACGAGCTCGACTTCAGGACGCTGCCCATACGCCCGGCCCCGATGGCGACGCCGACCGAGGAGGAGGAGGAGGACGACGCGACCCTCGACCTCGGAGACAGCGCGCTTGACGATCTCGCCTCGCGGACGAGGAAGAGCATGGCGGGGTTCGAGGCCGCGAGAAAGAAGGCCCAGCTCGACCGGCGGCGCTCGCAGCGACAGTCGAGGCTGCCGCCACCGCCGAGACAGGAGGGGCGTCTGTTCCCCAAGGTCGAGGAAGAGACGACGGAACTGGATGCTGACGCGTCGGTGCTGGCGGATGAGCTCATCCAGGGGGAGGACATGGAGGCTGTGTTCAAGAGCCGGCCGAGGCTGCAGACGAGTCCGGCAGCGTCGCCGCGACGGCGTATAGAGAACGACGAGTATCTGTAGTAGCCTGGTCCATTAGCGCAAATGCACGTAGTTTCCACATCACATGCGTCTCCATGCACGCCTGAGCTGACAAGTACGCTGTATTGCGCTTCCCACGCGCCTCTGGCTGTATTCTACATGACACAAACCTATCCTACAACACGCGCCACACGACTCCTCTTGGACCAGCCCTCTCTCTCACCAGCCCTGGTTCCGCAGCTCCTGCACCCTCGACACGGTGGCCGCGAAGCCAATCTTGAACCTGGCCCGCCAGCGCTCGCTCCTGAGCCTCTTCCTCTTGAGACCGGGCCTCTCGTGACGCTTCTGCAGGCGCGCCAGCTTCTTCGTGTTGTTGGCCCGCATGGCGCTGCCGAGGACGGCGAGGGCGCCGGCCATGTCCCGCCGGGGCGTGCAGTGAAAGGTGCGGCCGAGGACGGGCTTGAGGCGCAGCTCGGGCTTGGGCGCGCTGTAGTGGCTGCGCAGGAAGTCGTCCGACTCGGCGGCGATGATCTTGGAGAGGTCGAGCGTGTCGGTCGACGTGGCGTCGTAGACGTGGTCCGAGGCCGCCGACTTGGAGGCCGCCGTGGCCGGGGCGAAGCCGCCCGCGGGACGGGGCGTCGACGAGGGGGGCCGCGGCACGGCGCTCGCGTTCTGGGCGGGGGAGGTGCGGGCTGCCCAGGTCGGCTTGGCGGGGCCATCGGAGCGGGGGGCGAAGACGGCGGCGGAGGAGGAGAAGAGGCGCGGTTGGGACCATGGGACCGGTGGTGTGCGGGTGGTCATGGTCGACTTCCAGGGAAGAGCGCCCGCTTGAAGCAGGCGGCGGCTTGCCAGTCGGAGTTCGGAAGCCCTGCTGATGTTAGTGGACGACCTGGCGTGGAAGGGGTGGTGACGGGGTCCAGGCCAGCTCATACATGATGACAGGCCACAACAATTGGCAACGTCAGCGTCGTGAAGTCAGCGAAAAGCTTGGGGGCCAGCGTCGGAGAGTCGAGATGGTGTTTCTGGTGTTCAATCGACAAGCCCGAGCTCAAAATCATAGGGCGGAAAAAAGAAACTGCCGAATGTCCGAAAAGGCCCACACAACCACCCAATCACGGCGCGGTCGCGTTTTGACTGCCACCACGAACGCGGCAGGTGCAGGGCAGCCTGGCACTTGCTTGGCTCGCGCCGAAAAATACCCTTCGGCGACTGGAGCTAAGCTTCAACATCCTGACCACCACCAACAACCAACGGCGACTGTCTTGAAATCGCCCAAACACCCGAGTGTCGACTACTCGACAAACAGACATAAACCGGGCCAAACTGTTGAGAAATCACAAGAAGGCTCTCCATCACAACTGGCCGCCGTCTTTCACAATCCGCACCAAACACAGCAGGCACCATCTGGCGCCATGGCATACAACCCATATGGAAGTAAGTCTTGATCTAGCCTCCCCCCCTCAGCTCTTGATTTCCCCATGCTTACACCCTCAGACAACCCGTATGGACCGCCGCCCACATTCGGCGGTTATCCTGGTGCCGCCGGCGCCGGTGCCCCAGGCATGGCTCCCCCGCCCGGTCTAGGTATGTCATGTCGCGACGCACCTTACCTCCAGCTACTGACCACTGCAGGCCCTCCGCCAGGCATGTCTTCCGCTCCGGGATTGGCGCCACCACCTGGTGTCCAGCAGTCCAACAACGCTCAAGCTAACCGACAAAGCGGTCTCCCGCCGAACTTCCAAGCTCCGAACATCCCCAACAACTTTGACTTCAGCGCACCCGTGATCCGACTCTCTGCACTGGGCGGTAAGCCGGGACCTCAGGGTGATGGCGGTCGCAAGGACAGCAGCGCTCCTTCCTCGGGGAGGCCGGGCCTGGGCATGGACAGGAGGGACGACCAGTCGAGGAACGCCGCCAGGGACAACATCCAGTCGCTCGTGCCGCCTACTAACGAGGAGAGACTGCGCACCATCTTCATACACAAGATCCCCGAAGGACTCGGCGCAGACGAGAACATTGAAAGTCTGCTCAACTCGGTCGGAAGACTGCGCAGGTGGGATTCGGCGGCATCACAACTGTCCGATGGCAAGGGAGCAAAGTTTGGCTTCGCACAGTACGACGACCCCGACTCGTTCGCCACAGCCGCCGACATTCTCCAGGACGTTGAAGTGCCGTTGGCACGGCAGGGACCCAAGGAGGCGCCCGCCGATGGCGATGCCTTTGAAGGTGTTGAGATGGTCAAACTCCAGGTTACGATCGACCCAAACTCTCTCAAGTATGCGGAATCTTACAAGGAGAGCAGAGGCGATGAAGCCGCGACCGAGACACGACTCGAGGCGGCCAAGGCGGCTCTGAAGCAGGTCATCAAGGACTTGGTGTATCCCAAGACGGCAGTCAAGGGCACAGACGGAGAAGGCGACACGGCAATGGGCAACGGAGAGAACGTCGAGGTGGTCAACATTTCGCTGGCACAGGACGATGAGCTCGCTGACATTCCGGCTGAAATGCGGGAGGTCGTGGCGGCCGAGATCGCAGCGTTCCGTGACCGCAGCATCAGGCGCGACATGGAGCGTCTGAAGAGAGAGGAGGAAATGGAAGAGGCAGAGCGACAGAGGAACAACCCTCCACACAGGTCTCGGCTCGACACGCCCCCTCCAGATGCCTCTTCCGGCTCCCGAGGTCCGCACAACGCGCCGTCTGGGCCGCGGGGCACCAATGGCACCCGTTCAGTGTCATTTGTCAACGGGGGCGTCGCCAATGCTGAGTACTCCATCAACCGCGAGGACGAGGAGAGCGACGCAGACGACGAAGAGCTGTATCGGAGGCATCTCAATAAGCAGAAGGAAGAAGACGAAAGTCTGTACACAGAGGCGGAGCGCAAATGGTTCAACCGAGAGCGCTCTCGGCAAGCAGCCCTGGAGCGCGAGCGCGACCGCGAGCAGCAGGAGGAAGAAACCTTTGAGCGACGAAGGGACGAACAGCTCGAGCGAGAGAAGGCCTGGGACGATGAGCGGGAGGCGTCTCGAAAGAGCCACCCATTCTACCGCGACCACGCTGCGTGGGTACGCAAGCGACAGATGGACCGGGCCGACGAGGCAGCCAGGGACGACAACGACAGGCGTGCCGAGGCTGACGACAAACGGAGGGAGGCAGCCGACAACGAACACGCCCGCGGCATGGCCGACTCGTTCCTCGACAGGCAGGCGCAGGAGCTGGAGCAACGGCAGCAAGCGACGGCCGCGGCACCGGCACCATTCAAGCTCTCGCTCGGCGCGGCGGCGCAGCGCAACCAGCAGAAGGCGGCCTCCAACAGGCGCACGATTGCTGAGGTGGAAGGCCTGCTCGATGACGAGGAGCAGGACGGCACGGCCAAGCGACAGCTCATTCCAATCCAGTTCGAGCCGACGACGGCGGCGGACAAGATGACGGAAGAGGAGCTCAGCAAGGCGGTGCGCGCTCTGGCGCAGGAGATTCCATCGGAGAAGGAGGGCCTGTGGAAGTGGGACGTGCAGTGGGAACACCTCGACGACAGCATCATTCGCGAGAAGCTGCGGCCGTTCGTGGAGAAGAAGATTGTCGAGTACCTGGGTGTGCAGGAGGAGCTTTTGGTCGAGGTCGTCGAGGAGCACCTGCGGAAGCACGGCAAGCCAGAGGACCTAGTGGAGGAGCTACGCGGGGTGAGTGCTATTCTGTCACACGATCCCATTCCAGACCGACTGCTAATGATCCATGACAGGCCCTGGACGACGAGGCAGAAGACATGGCGAAAAAGCTTTGGCGCATGGTTATCTTCTTCACCGAGAGCGAGAAGCGTGGGTACCCTGCTTAGTAGACGCACGCCCAACAAGACTTGGCTATCTCGTTGGGGGGTAAGGAATAGGGAAAGGAAGGCAAAGCAAAAAAAATGGCATATCGCTTCTATCTGGGCTACGGCGCGGAATAATTTGGCGGGGACTACGATGTTTTATCTTGCTGATGTGTATACTATTCTCAGTTGGCAACCCGAATCATTGCTGGCAACAGCTGTGTCATGACCTAAGACTTGGTTGTTTGGTTTGACTGACGCAGGCATGAGTCGACTTGACTGTAGGTTAAACTGCAGGTTAAACTAACAGGACACTGCAGGCCAGAGGCAAGGTGCCTCATCGACAATCGGCGTGCAATTCATGACATTCGTTGCGAACATGTCCCCGGCGAGCAACCGGCTGGCGGCCAAGAGCCAAGAAAAGGCCCCCTGCAGCGAGTCGGACAGCGGAGCCGCCCGTGATGGTGCCATATTGCGCAATCCCGAACCGGAGGTCTGGCGAGGCCGCACAGCGGTTTTTCTCCAGAGCACATCGACGATAAGCGTGGGATGAACGGTCTATCGGCATGGATTGCATGTATGATGTGCTCCTCATTGGCGACGCCACGATGTCCTAGTGGCATTGATCCGGATCTGCAGGAGTCTTCATTGCTTGCTTCGCGGTCGAGAACTCTGTCCCGCAGAACTCTCTTTTTTCTCCCCTTCTGTCTGTAAATTGCAAGACAATCAACGACAAGTGGTGAGGAAACTCTGACTATTGCGCTGAGACGCTGCACGTCACAATGGCCGCCGAACCAAGCGCCGCGCCGATATTGGATGAACGAGCACCCCTTCTCTTGAGCTCATCGGCGACAATCTCTGTGACCAGTGACTCGAGTTATGACGCGTCTGACGAGGGGGCTTCGGTTGGGTCAGTAGAGTGTCGTATCCCGCAGCAAAGTTCTCCCACTGACAGGATGCAACGCCAGCCCTCGCGATGAGGAAGCATCTATAGGACGAGATGGTGTCGCGCCAACCCCCCGCGCCGCCATCGTGCGCATTGTCGCCATTCTTCTCCTCGGCACCTTTACCTCCAACGCCGACGGCAGTCTGGTCCTAGCGACACACCCGACCATTGCTTCCGAATTCAACGACCTCGAGGATTCGAGCTGGCTGTTCACGGCTTTCGCTCTCGCCGGCGCGTCCACACAGGCCATCTACGGCAAGCTCAGCGATATCTACGGCCGCAGGGCGCTGCTCGTCGTGGCATACTCGCTCTTCGCGCTGGGATGCTTCATTGTAGGCATCGGAGGGTCCATGGGGGAGGTTGTGCTTGGTAGGGTCATATCAGGGTCTGGTGGATCGGCCATGAACGTCGTTGCTGCGCTGGTCATCACGGATCTCGTCCCGCTGCGCGACGTCGCCGCCTGGCAAGCAACCATCAACCTTGCAGCGACCATCGGACGCAGCCTCGGCGGTCCCGTGGGAGGATGGCTCGCAGACACGATCGGCTGGCGCTGGTCCTTCCTCGGCCAGGCGCCCATCTTCATGTTCGCGCTGCTCCTCTGCATGGCCTACCTCCCATCCACGACCAAGCGCACAGTGGCCCCCGCCAGCGCGGCGGATCAGTCGACGGCCAAGACGCCAGAACCGAGCAAGGGATCCCTCTCCCGCATCGACTGGCTCGGGGCCCTGCTCCTCGCCCTCACGATCCTCGCCTTCCTCGCGCCCATCGAACTCGGCGGCAGCAAGATCCCTTGGTCCCACCCGCTGGTCCCGGGGCTCCTCGCCTCCTCGGCCGTGCTCGCAGGCCTCTTCGCCCTCGCCGAGGCCCGGCCCGGCGCGGACCCCATCTTCCCGCTGGCGCTGCTCCGCCAGCGCGACATTGTCCTCTCCTATGCCGTCATCCTCCTCCAGACGGCGGCGCAGCTGGGTCTCATGTTCGCCGTGCCGCTCTACTTCCAAGTCACGCAGCGGGCCACCAACACGGTCGCCGGCGCGCACCTCTTCCCCGCCGTCGCCGGCAACGCCGCCGGCGGCATCCTCGCCGGCCTCCTCATCCGCCGCACGGGCCGCTACAAGCGCCTCACCGTCCTGGCCACCCTCTGCTCGTCCGCCGCCTACGTGCTCCTCGTGCTGCGCTGGCACGGCCACACGAACCTCTGGGAGTCGCTCTACATCGTCCCCGGCGGCTTCGGCCAGGGCGTCGCCATCTCGGCCGTCTTCGTCAGCGTCCAGGCCGCCGTCGACCCGCGCCACAAGGCCGCCGCCATCGCCGGCCTCTACCTCTGCACGACCGTCGGCATGATTGTCGGGCTCGCGACCGTCAGCGCCGTCGTCATGGGCACCATGAAGGCCGCGCTCGACGCCCGTCTCGTGGCCCTGGGGCTCACCGACGCGGCGCGGCGCCACATCATCGCCGAGGCGGCCTCGAGCGTCGGCTTCATCGAGCGCGCGCGCGGCAGGGTCGGCGACGCTGTCGTCGCGTCCTACATCGAGGGCCTGTCGTGGAGTCATGGCGTTTCGCTCGTCTGCTCGCTGCTGGCGCTGCTTGGCGCGCTGTTCTTGGGGGAGCACAAGCTGTGATTTCTGTGGAATCGCTGCGTGGGCGGATGCCGGCGACTCGCATGGTGAATACCTGACATCAAGGCATCTGATAGGAGAGGTGGTTCGGCGGAGAGACCGTGTGACAGAACTAAGGTCACAGACACGTCAGTCTTGGTAGCGACTTTCATCAGTCTCTGTTGGTTCGAGATACCACAAAATCATGAGAACAATATGATAGATTCGAAAAGACAAAGTAAAGTTCCATTCATCTGGTATCTGCGGTGTCGTGAGCCGCGGCAAACGTCAAAATAAAAAAGCCTCCGAAACCCGCCTGACCCAATAATCGTGATATCGTGAAAGGCACGCCTCATGGAGGCCCAAACGCCAAGGCTGGAAGAAGCAGAGGTATCATAGCGTGCGCCCTCACATAACCCATCGTGTTGTGAAACAAATATCCACCGAGCCCAAACAGAGGCCAGCTCCCACAACCTCTCCGATCCCCAAGTCACAAAAGTCTCAGTGTTCCGACTCCCAGCCACCTGCATCATCGTCTACCTCAAATGTGGTTCCAAGGGCTTCCCGACCTTGGCGGATCATCTCTTTAAGCCTGTAGTTGAAATCGTTGATGCGCAGGTCGGCGTCCTGCTCCTCCTTTCGCCTCTTAGCGGCAAGCTTCTTGGCTTCCATGCTTAGCCTGGGACTCGCGTCCACGTTGTCATCGTTATCACGCGACGTCTGGACACGAGCCGAAGCAGCTGAGGCACCACTATGTGTCCGGCGGTGGCTCAGGGCCGGCCGGATGGGCGACGTGACGCAGCTGTTGCTTCGGTAGTGGCCCGCCGAGCTCGAGGGTCGTGAGAAGGGGTTGGAGCCGCGGCCAGCTTGCTGAGAGGGGATAGGGATCCGGCTTGGCGAAAGCGGCGACAGCGGGCCAGGCGAACAGGCCCGAGGAGAGCGGACGCTGGCACAGCTGGCAGTACTGGCGGGTGGTTCTCGAGCGGTACGGGCCGGTGACACGGCATGCGGGCTGCGGAGCGAGTTCCGACGGGCCTTGGACGGAGTAGTATTGAGACGCGAGACGGGCACGCTGATTCGGCGGCCGGTCGTCATGGAGGGCCGCGAGTTTCGCGACGGCGGGCGCAGCGAGGCTCTCGAGGCGGTACGCGGTTGCTCGAGGGGCGAGCCTTCATCGACCATGATCCAGTTGCGACGCAGCTCGTCGTTCTCACTGACCTGTCTGCGTTTGACAGCGGGTCGGGATGGTGTCGAATCGGGCGTTAAAGCTTCGAGAATTTCCGGGTTGTAGGGCATGTAGTCGGATTGGGGAAAGCCGCCAGGGACGTTTGCGTCATTCCCGTCGAAGGCTGAGGAATTCTCGGGTGAAAAGTAGTCCCTGGGCTTCTCTGCGTGCGTCACAGCCTTCGTCGGTGACGCAGGTACAGGCCGCTGCCCGTCCATGGCGTAGGGCGTGCCGCCGCCAGCATAGAAGCCTGTGAATGCGCTACCTCGGCAGAACTCCCATACCTTGCCCATGACGCCGCCGATGGCGTTGAACGCAAAGCGGCTCCAGCCTTCGCCTGCTGGCTGCTGGCTGGGCTTGATAAGCAAGGTGGGATGGCCATTCATTGGCGAGTCGAGCTCGACCGGGTGTCGTTTCGAGCCGAGAGCCTTTCGGTAATCGCTGTCGGAATAAAGGCTCTCCTCGAGTCGACCATGTCCACCTGCAGCATGGAAACCACCGGGCGTCTCGAGTTGGCCGGCTAGGGTGTAGCGCTCCGTGGGCTGTCCATGTCCAACCTTTGCCGCCGGTGTGCGGTTTCTGTCAGTGAGGCCATCGGCGTTGATGTTGGCATCAGACCATTCTTGAAGGGGAGTCTGCTCGCGCGACGTATCGGCACGAGCGCGCTTTCTCTTGACGTGGGCGGCAAGACTGCCGTTTTCGGGGCCAACGCTGGCGGTGGACTTGCCGAGGTGAATGGACGACGAGGCTGACGGCGTGGTAGGCGGTCGGAAGACGTTGGGGTGGACGCCAGTTGTGTGGCTGTCGAAGAATGCGCCGGGCATTTGGTAATGCGAGGAGTATGTCATATTTCGAAACAAATTTCGGACTGTGGGCTGGGAGCTACTTTTTTCAACTCGTTTTCGACTGACCGCTTCACCTGCCAAGAGGGGCGGATGGCATCGCAAGTGTTGTTGACAGGAATGTAAATGACGAAAGAGCCAAGAATAGCAGAGCTGTGCAGCACGAAAAAAAAACCAAGTCCAAAAGCACAGAAACACAGTAAATGTTGACCTGCAGCTGGAAGCCCACCCGCGTTAGGTTTTTCGAAGGGGAGGCTTGATGTTTGTGTGGTTTGTGTTTTGTTTGGACGGGACGGGGGGATGAGGATCACCGCCTTCATCTACCCTGGCTCTGGTTGGAGAAGGAGACCCGGTCTTTCTTTTTGGTGGGTGCGAACGAGCTGCACCTGCCTGCACCTCCACCGACAGTTGCACCTGCCGCTGGTGCCACGAACGACAAGAGCCCCACTCATTTGTTGGGGTCGGAAGGAAGCTCCAGGGGCCACTCTTTCCTCCAGAAGGTGGGTTGCTGGTTCCCTGGCGCCTGGTAACTTCGTCAGGGTCCTATGACCGATTAGATAAGCACGGCGGTGGCCACCTGATGAACCCAAGGACAACCAACGCTGGTGCCAGGACCAGCTCTAGGCACTGACACGGAACCTCCATTTCCATCCCAACCATGCAGCATCGCGCAAGTCATCTGTCTTCCGACGACAGGGATGCATCGAGTTACCGAGTAGATCTGTTCCAACCACCGATATAGACATGAGACACCATGCTGGGACACATACAGGTCCGAGCTGACACATGAGGCACGGGGCCACCTTGCCCCTGATTCCAGACAAGACATTAATCCCCCATCCACATATGGGCAGGCATCAAATCACCATGGTCATCTTGCTCCAAGAGGCATCATAGAAGTGGAAACGTGTCTAACAAGTGTATTTGACATTAACTAATGGTTGAAATTGCTTCTCATAGGGGTCGTCAACGGAGGCTCCGAGGCGGACAAGATCTCGGCTATCTAGAGAAGAGAGCCTGACCGTACCTCATCTTCACACATCTCGCCACCTCAATGAACAAAAGTTTCAACCCATGAAACCGAAGAGAAGGGGGATCGTCGCAAAGGCCACCATGTACGCCTTGGTCACACCGAACGAAGCGGCGCCCGACACTTCAACCACCTCTGGCGCCGGCGGCGAATCAGGCTCTGGAACCCCTTCAGGGCAGTGCCAGTGGTCATCGTGCGCGACACACTCACCCGAGGCGCCGCCAGCGCCGCCAGCGCCAGCGCCCTCTGCGCCAGGCTCACCGCCAGGGGGGTATGAGGGTTCTTCGACGCCCTCGGGACAGTGCCAGTGATCGTCATGGGCGGTGCACTCGGTCTCGGCGCCTTCTGCGCCTTCGGCACCAGGCTGGCTGCCCGGGGGGTAGGCGGGTTCCTCGACACCCTCGGGACAGTGCCAGTGGTCGTCGTGCGCAGTACACTCGGTAGCCGACTCGTCCGAGCCGCCGTGCTCTCCAGAACCAGGTTCTCCGCCAGGAGGGTAGGGCGGCTCCTCGACACCCTCAGGGCAGTGCCAGTGGTCGTCGTGAGCAGTGCACTCGCCAGCGCCGCTGTGGTCATCCCCATGGTCACCAGAACCGGGCTCGCTTCCTGGAGGGAACGAAGGCTCCTCGACACCAGGAGGGCAGTGCCAGTGATCATCGTGAGCGGTGCACTCT